ATATATATATATATATATATAACTCATTTACTACTGTGTTCCTAAAATTTACGTCCGGTTCTCTCTCGTGCTTGTTGTTGTTATACACCACGAAAGGAGTATTGTATCAGTTCTACCTTATCTTTCCGAAATAAACATTTATTGTTCATCCTCTGACTCGGTGGGTGGGATTGTTCTGCGTTGGCAGTGAGTAAGCACGTGTGGACCTAACTTAAACCAAAGAAGGTAACCTTCATTTATTAGAGATAGAAAGTACTGCGGGATCCTTTGTTATTACGACATTAATGCCTTTTTAACTATACACGTTTAAAAGGATTTAACACATAAAAATAATATCCCAAAATTAGATTTTCAAAAAGTAAAAGTTGTGAAACTTGGAATAGGATTAATCAGTAGTGAAGTAATAAGGCTGTAGGTTCTGTAAAATTTACGGGATTAAAAGTATAGTAACAAGAGTAAATTACTTAAGCGACATGAAATTCCAAGTGTAGTAACAGGGTTTTAGTTTCTGTAGAAATTAGTCTACATGTACTGTAGTGATTCTGTTTATAGTCATCACATACTGTAGTAATGTTGTCTAAAGTCACAACGTATCGTAATAATGGTGTCTAAAGTCACTATATGCTGTAGTAACGCTGTCTAAAGTCACTACAAGCTGTAGTAATGCTGTTTAAAATCACTATATGCTGTAGTGATGGTGTCTAAGGTCACTACAAGCTGTAGTAATGCTGTTTAAAGTCACTACAAGCTGTAGTAATACTGTTTAAAATCACTATATGCTGTAGTGATGGTGTCTAAGGTCACTACATGCTGTCTAAAGTCAGCACGTGCTGTAGTAATGGTGTCTAAAGTCACCACGTGCTGTAGTAATGATGTCTAAATTCACCACGTGCTGTAGTAATGTATAAAGTAATCATGTGACTGGAGTAAAGTTTTGCCATTGGTTTATGCTGCAGTTTGGAAAATGTTTAACTAAACAATACTGGTCATACATAAAACATATGAGCATGTCTGACAATAAAGAACGAAACCAAAGATTGTTTATATGTAACAGAAAGAGACACAGATAAACGTTTCGGAATTATACAGATTCCATCTTCAGTATCTAAAGAAAAAATAAAAGAATTACATCATTCTTTTTTGTTTGTTTGTAATTAAGCACAAAGCTACACAATGGGCTATCTGTGCTCTGCCCACCACGGGTATCGAAACCCGGATTCTAGCGTTGTAAGTCCGCAGACATACCGCTGTGCCACTGGGGGGGGGCACATTATTCTTAAATAAATAACTAAAATACATTACTACATTAACAATAATTTAACCAAAACTAAAACATAGAAAATAGGCAGTAACACAAATATTGTACATATTAAATAATGTGTAATTTAAAAAAAAAGACTCCATGATATTCATATAGAGGGTTTCTTTAATCACTAATTTCAGATCTGTGTTGGCCTTGCAAAGGAAGTTGAAATTTGATAAGTTCATGTCCTGTTGGGGTACATAGGATACTCAAATTTTGTTTGTGTTTTCATGGAACTTCCCAGATGTTCTTTGGCTCTAACTAGTAGATGGCGTTTGGATTTGCCAATATAGGAGGTATTACAGTCTCCACACGTGTAAATATATATACAAGCCAAGAACGGAGAAGGTTTATAGTACGGAAAAAATCCTGTATGCGTGATGTGGGTTTAAAACTGATCTGAAATCAACTTCAGAGTAG